GCTTGGTTTATTAAGACATTTTATCAAATATCTAGGAGGCATGAAATGTAAACACATCGCATACCCACAACAAAGCCACATAAGCTTCATCATAATGTTAATTATATCATAGAAGCATGACAACATTCGACCATATCATCCAACACATGTTAAATACATTGATTAGTTTAATTAACATGCTTGATTTCATTGAGACATTTTATCAAACACATAGGGTGCATACAATGTAAACATATATTATACCCAATAATACATTTCATCAAACCAAGTTTAAGCAAGGTGAGGGTTCACCTAATGCTCATATTTAACCTTAACTCACTAGTTATACTAGTCAAGAGTAAAACATGTGATATACACAACCATAATCTTACCCATTTCATATAGCAACCCTAAGTTGAAAGTAAATATAAATAAGAGAGAACACTACCTCTTGTAGTGTGCGTATAAGGTAGAACGACTCCTCATGATACCAAACGATACTTTGTTTGACCTCTAGCCAAACATCCAATTTTTGAAATATGTCATAATTGAGTGTGGTTGGTACCCATGCATAGCTCTCATTGTTGTGAGCAACTTTAGTTCTTATTTCAAGACGAGTCATCATTTGGATCTTGTTAGATCGAAGGAAAAAGTGAAGAAAAAGACTTGGAGAACTCTCCACCTCCTCCTCTCTCTCTCTCTCTTAAAATTATGAAGAACAACTAAGTGGAGATGCTAATTTTTCCACATTAAGTCTACCTTATACACTTGGCCCACATTTTGTCACATGTCTCGTTTTAATGGGTTTAATTTTATCCTGAACCAATTAAATCTCTCTTCGTGTTAAGTTTATTATATTTTTTCAACTAACTTTAAATTATTTTTCGAGTCATGTGAATAAAACCTGATCGCAATAATTTTACTTGTGCAACACCTTATCGTTTCGTAGTGCCTGAAAAATCTCATTATCTCAAAATTCAATGACAATTTATTCAGTAATTAAATTTCGCTAGATGAATCCAATTGTGAGGTCTGTTTCATCATCTGAATTATATAAAAATTTATCTTTTTTTATCCGTTCTTAATGGCTTAATTAACATTTTACCCCTCACTAAAATTATTAAAACTCCTGGGTTTTACACTATGCGAATGACCAAAGTTCGCATTTAGTTGGATATGCAGATGCCGGTTATCTTTCTGATCCACCCAAAGCTCGATCACAAATTGGATATGTGTTTACTTATGGTGGTATAACTATATCATGGAAATCAGTTAAATACATAATGATTGTTACATCATTCAATCACTCTGAAATATTAGTCATTCACGAAGAAAGTCAAGAATATATTTGACTATAAAATGAGGATAATACAACTTGTATCAATAGCTCAAGGAAAGATATATCAAAGGCGACAAAACAAAACATATATCACAAATTTTTTTTTTACAGAATGGTGATATTAAAGTTCAGCAAATTTGTTAGATTGAAAATCTAGCAGATTTGTTCACTAAAATACTCCCACCGACTACATTACATAAATTGGTAAACTAAATCGGAATGCAGACATCTCAAAGATCTGTCATCTATCAAGTTGAACAATCATTATTTTGATTGGATGTTTTCAATAGGGATAGGTCTGTACTTTTTTTTTTCCTTTTCTAAGGTCTTTTTCTATTGGGTTTTACTTCGTAAAGTTTTTAACGAGGTACTATTTAGGATCCCAACAATTTTATCAAAATCAAATTTTCGATCCTAGTGTTATTTAAATAGTCATCCAAGGGGGAGTGTTACAAATGTTGTGTATGACATGGATGACTACTATATACAAATAGTGACACATAGTACTAAATAGTGTTGGACATGACCTGACATTGCATGAAGAGTTACTGTATTTAATAGGGTAGTCCCTCACCTTTTTACCAATAGTGCTGAAATGTGCCTATAAAAGGCCTCAAATTGTAGAATCAAAACACATTGAAGGTAGGGATGACATTGGACCAGGGCGGGGGTGGGGGGAGTAGTCTTCACCCCCGTACCCACTTCAAAAATATTCGTCTACTCTCTGACAACCCCTGTTAGCTGGGGAAATTTTAATCCCTGTCCCCGCTCCATTGGTAAATTTTAATCCTTGTTCTTGTCTCCCGCCACCGCTCCACTTATAATAATTAATTTCTATGATTTTAAGAAAAAAATTATAAAACCTCACAAATAGATTTGTAAGAAGGATGAAAATTCATTATATAACAAATGGATCAAATATAAAAACTCACAAAAATAATATGTATTCAAATGTGTAGTTCACTTAATTATTTTATTATATATATATATGTGTGTGTGTATGTGTGTGTGTGTATTAGCGGGTAGGGGCAGAGCAAGGGTAGAGGCGAGGTGGGTAGGGATGAGTTTCAGTCTATCATTGCCTCCATTCCCACACGGGTTTATACGGGTATCCTGTATATGTCACACAGTCCACCGGTCCAAACAGAATGAATTTGGACAAATACTCATTTTTTCCGATGCAGTGCCATTCCTGATTGAAGGAAATATACATCTGCAAGCCTCCCTCACTCGAGTGTTGTCTCCATCTTTCAATTTGTTTGTTTCAATTAGTTATTTGCACCTACATTAATTTGCTTATTTTATAACAAGAATATATATGTAGAATTATTCATTTTTTGAATAGAGGTTGGTTGTGGATAAAGAATCATATACTACAAAAAAATCTATTTGAGCACAACCGGAGCAGAGCCATTCATGGATGAGCCTACTTTTTATATGTCTTTACATATGTACCAGTTTGAAATTTCATTTTAGTTCAGTTGAATAAATTTGTCCCCCTTATTTTTTTAAAAATTAGTATATTGCTCTTGTTATTTTTATTTTTAGGAAACTCATGATCCATTAACCTCCAAAAGCAAGTATTTTTATATTTGAATTAAGTAATAATACAAAAATAACTATATTTTTGTATAAATATTGATCGAAAATAATACATATCTATCCCCTTTTTAAAAAAAACCAATTATATAGTTATCTTTGGTAATTTTTATAAAGTTTGCAATTCGTAATCCCATAAAACATGATTAAATGTAAAAGGAAAAATGTGTTAACCCAAAAATATTTTTGTTATTTTAAATAATTAATTTCTCAACAAGATGAAGTGTGAACTCAACTAATTTTGCCACAAAAATAAATGATGATTTCATCAATAATTCTGCAATTGTGTTACTTTAAAAGGAATTAATAAGAAATTTAGCTTAGACTTAATGAATTGTAGGCAATTTCAGAGTTTTGAAAAAAATAGTGTGCTCTACTTTAATATATATGAATAATTTCCGTTGACAAGCACCACGAAAATTTGAACATCTTTGTTGCTCATGTTTATTTAGACTATGTGAAAATTAATTTTACTGTATCTTATCCTAATTTAGTCTTACCTCTTAACATATATTATCCCCACGTAAAAATTTTTTACTTATATCGTGTCCACTCTAACAAAGAATTCTGACTCCACCCCTGACAACTAAGTCAAGTCATACATTGCTTGGATTCCATCTCGTTTAGAACAACGAGCTTAAAACTTTTATCCAATTTGATTTAATTTATTATTTAAACAAATTCAAACTTTAAAATGGATTGAGCAAAATCGGGCCTATTCCGATAAATGTCCTACACCCATCCCACATAGTGTCACTCCTTTATTAATGTGTCAAAAAAGGAGTTGTGATGATCTTGAGGTCGTTGGTTCAAACACTCATTTTCTATAATTATAGATTAAAAGAAAATTAGCAATTAAATGTAATCTTATGAGAGAAATCCAAATGATTCAACCAGAAAAAAGAATAAAAACAAATTGGGTTAGGATGAGTATGAATTTGATACAATAGTTAAGGCGTCATGTGTTATTATTTAAAGACTCAATACACCCATTTAGATGAATGAAAATAAAGCTTTGGGAAAGGTTATGACTGCTAATATAATCACAGTTTCCTCTAATAGTTGTATTAGTTCAAATTCAAACCATGCACCATTTATCTCTCGCCTCATGCAGGCGAAAGTAAGAATCAACATTTGCATCGGTTTGTGAGTCACACATACGAATGTGATTATTCAAATCTTAGGTCAACATCTCTCGCTTGATCAAACTTGAATATATTGACTTAGTTTTTTTAGTTGGTTTTTATTCTGGGTACCCAATTAATGTCCACACCTACTTTTAATAGTGCTTACTCGATTGGCATCCAACCAAGGTGATGGACCTACATGCACACGCTTTAGTCATCAAGTCTAGCTAAACCCTTATGTTGTCCTTACAAAGGACACTCCAGACCTTATAAATGCAATCTTTTTTTTTCTATTTAGTGGCCTAAAATCATGTAATTAAAATTATATAGGGCTCGAGAAATTAATATTATTTTAATCCTTTCAGTAGGTCTTGTCGTACCTTGCCCATAAGACTCTCACCTAGTGTTGTACGTAGGTGGAAAATGTGACAAACCTGTGCAGAATTCCACTTCCTATAATATGGCAAGTGAAAAAATGTTCCTAAGTTGTAATAACGAAGTGAAGGGCAATTATCACATAACAGTTTTCTTATACTAGCTGTAAGTTTGGTGAACACCTCAATTAAATGAGCTAAACAAGAGAGAAAAATTATTATTCAATACAAAACAAATAGCCGATGCCAATTGCATCTTTATTTTGTACTTACAAAGGAATGCCAATCAAGGGTAATAGCAGCTCTCTCTCTCCTTGATTAAATGTGAGATAAAACACACTGGTGGTACCTACAATACGCCCTCGGTCTCACTTTTGTCATTTAACTGTCAATTGTAACACTTTACTCGTCAGACTTTCAGTTGAAAGTTAAAGAAAAAAAGTAAGATAAGAAGCATACTTCCTAGACCACCAGCATATTTTATCCTTAGGTAAGGCTAAGCCTTTCCAAAGAATGTTTTATTTGTGTTAGTCGCCCATTCTTCTCAGCTGCCGCAAGTCTCCATATGCATAGAGAATTTCGCTAGGAGTCAAAGACATTTTGCAACATAGGTTGCATGAATGCGTTAAGCTCCCCAAAGATAGCATCATCTCCTTCAACATAGCTAGTGAAGTCCTGAGACTCGAAGAATGTTTGGATATCACTAGGGAAGCTACATTGTGGTTGATAAAATTCCAATGGTTCTGTTGAAGAACATTCGGCCGTGGTGGTCATCTCCATCATTTCCTTGAACTTTGATGATTGAAGTAGAAGTCCGAGGGCCGAAGTGGCTGTTGTTGGCCTTGACTGATTTAGAGTGACATCGCCGACGGTGTTTGATGGTGGTTGGTGGTGGAGGAGGGAGTTTAGTGATCCAAGGTCATGATTAGGGGTTGGTGTGGAATCAGTGTTAACATTAGGGATTGGCTCAACGGTATTGTTGTTGGTAGGTTTTAGCCATTTTATGTAACGGCTAAGATCAAAGTTGGTGACGGCGTTAAGTCCACGGTACTCTATGGCTGCCATGTCGTATGCAACTGCAGCCTCTTCTTGGGTAGCTGCAGAATAATGAGATGATTTAGAGATTATATTGTAAACTAAAAAAAGAATTTGAAGAAAGAGTTGAGGGGAGATTTGAAAATAGGTTTTTGGTGGACTTTCACTCATCATATATTAATGGATAAATAACTTATATATAGTCGGTTGTACTTAAATTTACAGTGAATGCTCTATCATTAAAGAAAATTGAAAAAAAAAATACTAAACAAATCCACAGTCAGTTCATTTGCTTCTTTTTATTTATTTTTTGATAAACAACATAGCTTTATTTGTTTGGCTCCCTAGGAGTGAGATGCTATCAAATATATTTTTTTTCATTCACTTGTTGGTAGATCACTTATTGTAAATTTAAGTAAAATTCATTATATCTTAATAGTGGGTTTCTTACTAATACATGTTAGATGATTTACCAAGGAGAAAAAATTGAGAAAAAAAAATCTTTGGAGGGGATCTAGATCTGCTCTATATTATGGCAATTATGCTATTTATTTAATAAAATAGCTAGTACTTTAAATTTTATCTCAGATTTTTTTTTGTTCATTTCTATTACATCACCCTTTTTTATATCACCCATGTCTATCACAAGTTTTTTTTTTTAAACAGAATTTCTATCACAAGTTGCATCATTTAATTTTGGGTAAAAATCAAAATTGGTCCTTGAACTTTGCTTTTAATTTTAGTTTAGTCCTTGAGCTTTTAATTATTTTAATTTAGTCTATCAACTATCAATTTTGCCTCAACTAAGTTCTTACATCAATTTTTACCATTAAATCAACTGGAGATTAGCCAAATTTGATCAATTTCAGTGTTGATCTAATGATGAAAATGAAGGGAATGACTTAATGAAGATAAAATTGTTAGTTGATGGACTAAATTAAAATTAAAGACAAAATTCAAGGGCCAACTATGACTTTTACCCTTTAATTTTTGATAAATTTGTGGCTCAATCTAATTTTATTTCAGACATTATTCATACGATAGTGTACACATATTAATATGTTTTTAAAGTCACGTATTTTGAAAAAAAATTATAGATTTTTTTAAAAAAATAAATGAGTAGAAATTCATTTTAGATTATGTAATTAAAGAAATTAAGGGAAGAAAAAAAAATTATATTCGATAAAGTGGTATTAATTTTTTAAGTATTTGAATTTTATATGGCATTTTATCTTCGTCACAGATTATGACTAGTTTATTTTATATGACTCGTGGAGTGCATTGATCATTGACCGGTATCGATGTCATGATGGGCATTTAATAACGAAAAAACGAGGCTATGCACTAGTTATTGACAATAAGAAGACCAAAATTAATTTGAAGGTCTCAAAATAGAGGAGAAATTACCATATGTCCCAAGATAAAGGTACTTATTGCCGAAAACTCTTCCAATCCGAGCTTCCCATCTTCCATTGTGATGATGTCTGCTCATTGACATAAAATAAACAAGTTATGGAGAGGAATGCATACAGCTTTTTGAAATTTTGATGAGATTCAATATATATGCACAAGAATATACTACTACACGTGTGTAATAGTGCAAAACACAAGATTCTTGGTACTACTGGTGTCAAAAATGACAGATGCATGCAGTTTTATATAAAACAGTTTTACGGATTTTGAATGAATACAAAACGGCAAAATGACGCTCCTTGTACCTTGCAACTCCTCTATACTTTGACACTCCTCGAGAGAAACCGTTGCTTTTCCTGCAGTTTTTCACCATCAGCATTTACCTCAAACCCATTCGTATAAATATATATATATATATATATATGGTTTTCATAGATGATTTTTTTTTTTTTTTACCTTCTGAGAGATCCAATATATTCTTCTCTGGACTGACCCTCCATTTCTTTCAGCTCGTTCAGGTATGTGGAGAGCTATAATTATTTTGAATACTAATCAGTTCAATTGCTAATCTTCAGTTTTACAGATAAATTGTAGAACTACAAACTGTAAAAATTAAAAATTTGTTTAATGCCAAGAAGTAGTACCGGAAAATTCAGTATTGTATCTTGACCCCAGTATTTTAATGCAGCCAAATCATAGGCATGTGCAGCCGCGTCTTCGTCATTGTAGGCACCTAGAAAATCAGCAGAGTTTAAATGAGATATGTGTCTGTGGAAGCACCTGAAAATGAAAATAAAGCAGGACGACGACCAAGATTGTGTGCGTTCAACATACTGATCGTTTCCATTCTACAACTAATCTTTTGATTTAAATTCACTTTTTNTAATGCAGCCAAATCATAGGCATGTGCAGCCGCGTCTTCGTCATTGTAGGCACCTACAAAATCAGCAGAGTTTAAATGAGATATGTGTCTATGGAAGCACCTGAAAATGAAAATAAAGCAGGACGACGACCAAGATTGTTTGCGTTCAACATACTGATCGTTTCCATTCTACAACTAATCTTTTGATTTAAATTCACTTTTTAACGTAGAATATATATTTAGCTATGGGATTTTTTGTATTTTGCATCCTAAAAGATTTTAATTTTTTATATTTTCTATCCTCAAAGATTTAAATTTTTTATATTAAATTTTTAGTATATCAAAAATATTACAATGTAATTCTTCTGTTAATTTCTATTGTTTTTTTCGTCAAAAATCAACCAATTGACACTGACAAAAAAAGTNTTTTAATTTTTTATATTTTCTATCCTCAAAGATTTAAATTTTTTATATTAAATTTTCAGTATATAAAAAATATTACAATGTGATTCTTCTGTTAATTTCTATTATTTTTTTTTGCCAAAAATCAACCGATTGACACTGACAAAAAAAATNTTTTAGTATATCAAAAATATTACAATGTAATTCTTCTGTTAATTTCTATTGTTTTTTTCGTCAAAAATCAACCAATTGACACTGACAAAAAAAGTAACTGAAAGCTAACAAAATGTCACTTTTGATATATTATGCAATGTATAAAATTTAATATTTGAGGATTCTCCAACAAAAAAAAACTTACATCTTAACCACTCATTTATATTTTAGAGAGATAGTAGAGAGAGAGAGAGAGAGCTGCATTTTGCAACATACCAAGGTAGACTGCATTTCCATGAGGATTCCATCAAATCACCATCAACAAAATGCAAGAAGAAAGGAAAAAACTTGTTAATAAATTTGACTTAAACATTCATGAAATCAAGGCCAAAAGGAACATGAAGACAGATGGCAATGAACCTTGTCTGCCTTTCTTGTTCTGTGATTCATTCCAGCAATTCTTATCCCACAAATGTGCTTCATATCTACCTGTCCACCGGTGCCTGAATCAATCACCATCCACCCATTTAACCACAACCCCAAAAAAAACGATTATCAACTAAATTTCGAAGACATGATCGAATAATTATTAAAAAAAAGAAAATAATGCGTGAGACTCTCATCACATGAACGTAATATAACCTTGTGACCCCTCTATAAATCGAGCTACGTTGAGGAGGGGAGTCTCTGGGAACAGTTTTCCTCGTTCGTTTCACCTTCTTCAATGGATAGGCATTACTGTTACTATCATTTGCATTTCTCTTCTGGTTTTGCTGTGATAACTTCGCCATGAAACTCAAGATCAAGTGTAATAAGGTAAAACAAACTTTGACAGTTGTGACTACTTCATTCACTGGAGGGGTTTTTAAAGGGGTGAGAAGAGAGAGTGTGTGCGGGCAAATCAGAGATAGCCGGCCAGGAGAGAGAATGGTTGTGGCCGTCTTAAACCGGCTTTGTACATGGCCTCTTTTGTCTTCTCTCTTGTCCTCACTTACATTTTGTGTTATCTGCTATTTCAGTTATACCAAAAACTGCAATAATAAATTGGGCGAGACGTAAACTGTAAACATCTTTGAGTTCGAGTTTTCTGAGATTAATTGACACATGTGATTAGCCACAAATACTCATATAATGTTACTAAGGTAATTTGTGTCTGAAGACACCATACAAAGTAAGTAAGAAATGATGGATTGGGAGGAAGGAAATTCAATGTGAATTGTTTTGAGAGGGATGTTGGTGGTCGTTGAATGAGTCTATTTAAGACTATCAGATAGACTTACTAAAATCTGTTATGTTTTATATTATAGATGTAAACATATTTGAGCTCAAGTTTTCTGAGATTAATTGATGCATATGATTAGCCACTGATCACACATATAATGTTATTTGAACTTAATTGCTCAACTTAATGCATTATAGTAATTAGATTGACAGTGGATCTCACCATTAAATAGTCAANTGTTATTTGAACTTAATTGCTCAACTTAATGCATTATAGTAATTAGATTGACAGTGGATCTCACCATTAAATAGCCAAATGGGGTCTCACTATTGATTGAGATCCACAACTAAATGTTTATGATGGATTAGGTTGACAAATTAAATATAAATAACAATTTTCATCTATTTGTACAAGTAATACTATTTATCTAATTTTTTGATCTAATTTATTAATTTAATGCATCACAATCATTAGATTAATTGTATATCTCAACCTTGTGTTGAAAATTAACACGAGTTGCAAAAGCAGAAAATTAACACGAGTTTCAAACTATTGTTCCAAAAGCATAAAATTATCAAAGAGATAAATTTTATGGTGATGATGTAGACGTAAGAGCGAAAATTCTTTAGATTTCAGGTCAAGGTGGTGGAAGTGAGGTGAACTGAAGATGTCTAACTCTACGTACCTTGAGGTATAGCATATATCGACGTTTGGCCTTAATTAACATGTAACGACACAATTTAAACGTATAAGTATAGCCTAAATCGAAAAGTATTGTGCGTGCCTAAGGTATGAGCGTAATGGGATGTGTGCGGGGAGAATTCCGTGTAAGGAGTTACCATCCTGTACGGATAGAGATGATGGTAAGGAAGCTTTGAGTGACCTGCAAGACAAGGGAAAATTTATGTGAACCGATGGTTGGAGGTAGTCAAAGGGACTCTGATAATTAAGTTTGGTAGCAAGTTAAAAAAGAGTATGAAGTAAATAAACTATGATTGAATGCATTTAACTGGTATCTGGAGACTTTTATTTATAGTGATAGAAAGTTGTGTCCCAAAGGAACTCGAACTCTAAGTTATAATAGGATCAACCTCATTACCAACTCCTTTAAGTTTGAAGTAAAGTTAGACTATGACTTGTTCCTAGGTACGCTCCTGTATGTTTGGGGTAGAGTGTCATTTGGACTCTAAGTTGATCATTAGTCGAGTAGGACTCATCTAACAAAGGTGGGCAAGCAACGGGTGATATAGTGAGGTACTTCCAGATTCGTAGATAGCCACCTGTCGGCCGACTGGCCCCCGTCGAAAGGCTGCCAGTCGGCTGGGTCCTTGAAGGACGGCCACTAGTTGGCTAAACCTTCCAAGCTTTGTGTTGGTTGGCACTTGCAAGACATAAGCCCCCACAATTGCCATCAATGCCTCTTTTAATTGATCAAATTTATTGAAACATTTTTTGAAGAGTTTAGACTTCGTAGGCCTTTATTTTATCCTATAGGCTTCTCTTGCCTGAAAAGGTAGAGTTTTAGTTGCCTAAGATGTTTAGGGCTTTAAATTCCCCCCTCTTTTTCTTCTTTACACTATTTTGGAGATTAGCAAATAGGGGAGAAGGAGAAGTATCCATTATTGATTGTATAGGGAACTTATTTTACTCATTAGCGAATCGAGTGATAAGAGTCGTTCGAGAGTCAGACCGAGTTTGATAGAGTCAGAGTAGACATGCTTTGAGAAGAAACTTAAGAATTCCAGAATGGAGACTACCTTATTAAAGAAGAAGGTTACTGAGGTAGAGACTCGAGCTAGTGAGTTTTAAGAGGAACTTGTTAAAACTAATAGGGAGAATGCTGAGATAGAGGAACAAGTGAAGAATATTGTCTGTTATCATTACTCTGGGATCCTGGACAAAGTCTAGAAGAAATATAGAAGAGAGAAGAATAAGTCCTTCAGAGATGGTTGGAGATAAGCTCTCAAGGTAGCTGAAACTAATGAGTCATATCTAGTTTGGGAGGACGTTCCATGCCTTGAGAGTTACTTCCTAATTTCTGAGACCTTTGGAGAAGTTCCTTGGTAGTGGTGGTGGTTCGAGTCTTCTGACACTTGTGCCCATCATTCTGACTAAAAAAGGGGGTCCCCATGAGTTGAGGCGTCTGATATTTGGTGGGGGAAAATTCAAGAAAGGGTAAGTAGCCTACTAAACAATTGTAGAAGTTGATGGTCTTCTGTTGAAGACTGAGTAATTTAGAGGGCAACCTTAGAAGTTGCATGGACGTGAAGTAGCCTTAAGGGACAACCGTAGAGGTGTCAACATTGAGCTGTAACTACAGAGGTTGGCTAGAGATGAAATAGTCTTAAGGTGCAAACGTGGAGGCTGCATGGAAATGAATTTACCTTAAGGTGCAACCGCAGAGATTGACTGGAGATGAGGTAGCCTTGAGGCACAAAGGTTGGCTAGAGGCGAGGTACCCTTAAAGTGTAATCGCAGAGGTTGGCTAGAGGCGAAGTAGCCTTAAGGTGCAACCAAGAAGGTTGGCTGGAGGCGAAATAGCCTAAAAATGCAACCAAAGAAGTTGGCTAGAGGCAAGATAGCCTTGTGGTGCAATCACGAAGGTTGGCTAGAGATGAAGTAGCCTTGAGGTACAATCTTGGAGATTGGCTAGAGACGAAATAACCTTAAGTGCAACTATGGAGGTTGCTAGAGGCGAAGTAGCCTTAAGAGGCAACAACAAAGGTTACAATAATTACAAGTAGAGGAACACTCAGAGTTGTGAAAAACAAACTTTTCTTTACTAATAAGTGAAAACGAGAAACAAATGTCTTTGAAGACCAATTGAAATAATAAGATGCTACTGATTAAGCTAAACGTAAAACTTAGTCATCTGATTGGTCATCTAATTAGATTTGTTGCTCTGCCTACTCATTGATAGTCTTTTCCTTGTCAGTGTATTGAGAGAGGTGACTTTGATTGACCAATTCTTCTAGGTGGCGCTTGAGTGCCCAGTATTTCTTCGTCTGGTGGCCTTTGTCCTTGTGGTAAGAACAATGGAGATTTTGGTCCTGCTTTGATGGATTTCTTATCATATTAGGTAGCCACCTAGAATACTCCTTGCCTTTGTTTTGCTTCAAAACTTGATAGATAGGCTCCTTGAAGATAGTTTTGGTTTTTTGGTAGGAGTCTCTCGTTCCCTTGGATAACCTGTCTCTCCTTGATGTGTTGGGAGTGTTATTTTCTTCCCTCTGGTTCTTCTTTGGAGAAGATGGTAGCAGGTCGACTAGTCCCTCGTTGTTTTTAACCTTTACATACCTCTTGATATGCTCCTGCAAGTGTGACATGTTATGTGGCCACATAGTGAGATGCTTCCTCAATTCACTTTTCATGGGGAGATCCAAGCGGAAAGAGCCAAATACAATTTTCTCATCCCAATCGTCTATGTCAACATAGGTATCCAGGTACCACATGGCATACTCACGGAGAGTCTCACCATGTTTTAACTTAATGCTAAGTGTGTCAATCATTGTCGACTTCTAANGATCCAAGCGGAAAGAGCCAAATACAATTTTCTCATCCCAATCGTCTATGTCAACATAGGTATCCAGGTACCACATGGCATACTCACGGAGAGTCTCACCATGTTTTTAACTTAATGCTAAGTGTGTCAATCATTGTCGGCTTCTGATTATTGATTATGAATCGAGAGACAAACTCCATGGCTAGTTGTTCTCAAGAGAAATTCAAGTTCATGGGCATCCCATGAAATCACTTAAGAGCTTACTTCCCCAAACTAAAGGGCAATATCTTACAAATCAATGCTTCATTGCTCGTCCAGAGGGCCATTTTGTTGGTAAAAGGCTCTAATGTGGGACATAGGATCAAACTTGCCATTGTATAATTCGAATGAGGGAGGAGTGAACTCACGTGGGGGTTTGACTTCTCATATAAAGCAAACGAAAGGGGGTTNTTCGAATGAGGGAGGAGTGAACTCACGTGGGGGTTTGACTTCTCATATAAAGCAAATGAAAGGGGCTNTTCGAATGAGGGAGGAGTGAACTCACGTGGGGGTTTGACTTCTCATATAAAGCAAACGAAAGGGGGTTGTAATCATCTTGACCAGGTTTTGTCTTGCCATTTCTTTTGCTGAATATATGAGATTATCTTGGCCGAGGTTGTGTTGCAGCCAGGTGAACTGTGCATGGGCTGGTTCAGAGCGCCTACACTTTTCCCATCCAAAATTGTCATCCAAGTGATCTCCTCTAGGATGGTAAGTTGAACTCCCATGTCACTCTCCATGCTCTTGGGGATGACGTTCTTTTTGTGACTCGCCTCCCTTTTCTCCATGATAAGGGCGCTTATCCCTTGGNTGCTCTTGGGGATGACGTTCTTTTTGTGACTCGCCTCCCTTTTCTCCATGATAAGGCCGCTTATCCCTCAGAGAAAGGTCTCTATGCATGCGGTAGGAAATACCATATCTCAGTGAATACTTGTTTCGACTCTAATTATAAGTCGAATAGCTCTTGCTGGTGACTTGCTCTTGTGCAAGGAAGAGTGAGCCTCCTCCCAGTGATCATCATGATAACC